ATATCAAAGATGTGTGTGTGTGTGTGTGTGTGTGTGTGTGTGTGTATTACACATTGCCTCTCCCCTTCGCTGCAGAAAAGGCCGATAATCGATGAAAGCATCACTTATTCTGTACAATTCATAGACTTCTATTTTCAAGCAATAAATTCTTGACTCGAATTGATTCGAGACTAGATGACATCCCGCCTACGCGAACCTCAAGACGACAATGCCAGACCCAACCGTGCGAAAACCATTTCTTTTCTTAGCCGCGTGATCTCCCAATAAACGTCATGGACTGCAGATTAAAAAATTCCATTATTAACAGAAAAAGTAAAAATTAGTTTTAATTCTTAATATTTTTTTATCATTTCCAATATTTAACTCATCATTTATGTACACGGCAAGCTATATTTGTCGAAAATCTATAACTCCTAAAGAGTGCATGATAAATATGAACAATGTATTTAAAAAATGTATAAAACTTTCTAATAAATTATTAAACATACAGTTTGTTATGTGCTTTAATAAGATTTATCTTTATTATGCTTAAGACATTCCATTCAAGCTTGAAAGACATACCTGAGCTCTTGACGAGACCACGCTCGATGTATCTCAGATAATTAAGAAAGTCACACACTGCTATAATCTACAAACAAAAAACACATAATTTCTTACAAAAATAACTTTTAAAGGTAATTTTAAAATACATAATTTTAAACAATAGTTATATGTGTAGAACTTACTCGATTGCGACAAATCTGCGAAATACATTGCCACTGATTTTCTTGATCACCAAGTCGCATACGATAGTGACATTGCCGTGGTGCTTCCAATAGCGCACATTTTCTGTAATCGAAATATTATCATTGTTTCATATAAAAAATTTTTTTAAAGAAACATCTTAAATAATAGTATAATAAATAATAATAATTTTCCAACTATTGTTGCAACTTTGCAATTTTACAAATTATAATACAATGTTATTGTAGATACGTTACAGAAACATAGAATTGCGAAGATTTAAGAACAGTACAGCAATATATTAATTGACGCATCAAAAAGATTATGAATATTACAATGTAATAATTAAATGTATCTCTCAAAACGAAAATAAATTAAAATAGATTTTTTTCTATCCGAATGCGTATTTTAAATAGTGAATACTTTTTTTTTATTTAATTGGATTCAATTTGATTCAATTAGATGCAATTGGATTGAAAAATTTTTACATTTCCTATTCAAAATTTTGAATTGAATAGTATTCACAATGTATTTGCACAGAAAAAGCTAATATTATTTTTAAATTGAAAGGCATAGAGATATGCTCCATGCAATTCCTATAAGTGAATAAAAATGCATTCAGGATTGAAAAGCATTCATTTTAATATGAATCAATATTTTTGAAAATCTGAATCCATTTCAATTCATTTCAATTCCATTCTCATTTGCTGGGCTATGAATATATTACAATGTAATAATAAAATGTATCTAATATTTGATTATCCTCTAAATGGCAATGAAATCTCACAGTCTTTTTCTTTTATAATATGAAGATATGAAGTATTTCAAGATAGTGAGAAGCTAAGGACGTACTTGGGAAAAGCAAGTTTCGTTTTATCGCTGACGGCCTCGATAAATATGATGCCATCCAGAACGGCTTGCCTGACCTTGGCTCCCAATTCTTTATTCGGAAAATCCAAACAAAGATCAATATCCTCCTTGAATACTCTCGCAACAAAGGGATCGCTCTTATCGACGCAAGGGTTTGCCTTCCACCTAAGAAATTCTGTATGCACTCTCGGATCGACTTCCAGACCAGAATCTTTGCATTCTCTTTCCTTCTCCTTCTCACGATCACGCTTCCAATCCCTCTCGAGAATCTCTTTGTCAGTCGGTAAAGGCGGCCTTTGTTCTTTTATAGGCGAATCAGGAGGCGAATTCTCTCGACCATATTTTAAATTAAAATGCGATGGCGATCTGTGCAACAGAATTGTGTGTAAATTAATTTTAAACGTATTTCTAATTTTATTTTAACTTATAAAAATAAATGCAATAACTTTTTATATCTTTTTAAATAATTATTTATTTTATTCGCATTTTAAACCATATTTTAATTTTAATTTTAAAATAAATTTTAAAATACAATTCTGTCTAATATGTCAATTATAACACGTAAAAATATACTTTCGAAACCGAGAAGCGATATAGAAATGCATAAAATCATAAATATTATAAAGTATCGCTTGAATTTCTCATTTTCAAGGTACCTTTTGCAATTTTGAAAAATTATAAATTTAAAAGAAAATTGTTTATTACCTCCGGTGTTTCTTCATAAAAAGCCCTTGTTGATTCTCTTCCCCATTGTTAATGCGTGCTTTTGTATCGATTTGAGGATGCAGATGAGGATTGGGCCGTGACGGTGTAGACGTGAGTACCAAAGTTTTCAAAGCCGCTACTTCAGCTGCGAGAACTTCTGATTTCATGCGGCTCTCTTCCAGAAGACGCTCTGCCGTCGCCTGACGTACATTTGCTTCTCGAACCATGTTATGTGCCTCCTGAACATACATTTTGTAATTTAACGAAATTTAATTTCTTAACCAATCATTAAAATCATCTAATATCATTTTGTAAAGAATTAAATTAATGTATTAATTTAAATCTGAAATATCGAGGATAATTACGTTTTTCTTTTCTGTTAAATCTTTGAAAACAACTTCCAACATTCTACATAGACAACTTTAATTTTGTTAAATTATAATTTCGTTTTTTAACATTTTAGTGTTGTATCTTGTTCTTTTTATTTCTTTTGTAATATATGACTAACTTGAAAGAGACTGGCAGTGAGTTCTTCGAGCTCGGCTTCTACATCCTGTCTGATTCGAGAAAGTCTAGCCACTTCCTCATCCTTCAATTTCAATTCTTCATGAGCTCTTTTAAGTTCCTCTTGCAGTTTCGCTACCGCGTGCTCCTTTACCTCGGCAACTGCTCTTCCCCATTGCAGGGTG